CGCTATCTCTAGTATCTCCTCTCTGCAGTACATCTGTACTATGTATCGGTCTGCCTATGTCTGTCTCTGTCTATTCTCTCTTTCTGTCTCTGTCTCTTCTCCTCTCTTCTCTCTTCTACTGCTATCTACTAGAGTTCTTCTCTATAACCACTCTCTCGTTTCGTCTCGCTCTTCCTTCTCGTCTCTTATCTCTCTCGTCTCTCTCTCTTCTTCTGGTCACCTGTCTCTTCTACTCTTCTTATCTCTTCGTCTCTGTTCTGTCTCTGTCTCTGTCTCTCTGTCTCTCTCGTCTCGTCTCTCTCTTTCCTTTCTCTGTCTCTGTCTACTCGTTCTCTTATCTCTCTCTCTCTTCTTCTTCTCTCTCTCTCTTCTCTGTCTCTCTTCTCTCTGCGATCTCTGTCTCTCTGGTCTCTCGTTCTCTGTCTTGTCTCTCTTCTGTCTCTAGGTCTCGTCTCGTCTTCTGCTCTGCTTCTGCTCGTCTCTTCTCTGTCTCTCTCTCTTCTCTCTCTCTAGTCTTCTGTTCCTGTCTTGTCTCTGTCTCTGTCTCTGTCTCTGTCTCTCTCTCTGTCTCTGTCTCTGTCTCTGTCTCTGTCTCTCTCTCTAACATTCTCACAGAGAACTGCCACAATTTTAGCACCATGTTCTTAAACCCACACCTCTCCCAGTGGGACTCAGACTGGTCCTTCCTTCACAATCAGACTGACTATAATGACAACTACACGTTCAGGTAGGCCTCCTTATTGTACTTTGAAGATATCAGATACACTGGGTGTTGATGAGGTACAGTCATGCATACATTGAGATTACTGTATTGTACATCATATGGTTCCTTTAGCTATTTCTCACTGCTTTTTCATTTGTTTTTTTTCTTTCGCTTTCAGTAAGGAAACCATGAATATCACGTCTCCCGAGGAGGAGTTTTGGGCGTAAGTTTGAAACCAATGATAACCTCTGAAATACACACGCGCATCAATGATAACCTCTGAAATCCACCCCCACTCAACACACACACACTGATCAGAGGCGATCATGGGTTCCCAGACTTCCCACACATAGGCTACTACAGTCCTACAGTGTAGATAAAACTGCTGAGGTCTCTTGGTAGAAGGCATCATCATCAACAGAGTATTTCTCAATGATCCCATGACTAAAGCTACACCGACAGCGTGGATATTCTTTATCAGTGGGGTGTGGAGTGATACTGATAGTGATCATGATGAGTCATGCTGACAGACAATATAGGGCCCGCCCAACGGACCAGCAGCCCAGTAGAACACAGGGTAAGGGAAATTAGCCAATTACTGCCTGGAGAGAACCATAAAACGACCAATTACAGTTCTCGATATGGATTCCTTTGGGTTCAAGTTCTGTGTTGTTGTTTTTTTAGACTAGTCTTAAATGTAGGTGATTTCGTAAGAGGCCATGGTTCTTCCCACATGATACATTCCTGATGGTGTAGCCAAGTTGTGCAGGAATGGGAAATGGGTTGAGAACAGCACTCTAAAGCATTTTCTTCTAAATGAGAACAATATGTGTCCTTTCTTGGGGTTTCAAAGTCTAAACTAAAGCCCTCTAAACTAAACTGGGTGAAATAGAACATCTGTATGTATCATGTCGATGCTATTTTGTCTCTGTATTCGTGCAGAGGCTCCATATGGAGACTATAAAGTTGGAAAAATAACACGTTTTTCTGTCGGGTCGGCTGTCACTGTGAATTTGTATAGTTAGATTTGTGTGGGGACAGGATCTCTGAAATAAAACACCTTGTCTAAGATGGTTTGTAGTACATAGAGGGTCATGGTAGGGTGTCTAACCTTATTCTGTTTGTGTGTGTGTGTGTGTGTGTGTGTGTGTGTGTGTGTGTGTGTGTGTGTGTGTGTGTGTGTGTGTGTGTGTGTGTGTGTGTGTGTGTGTGTGCTTGCGTGCGTGCGTGCGTGCAACTTGATCTCATAGTTTCACTTCGGGATTTGACATAATTGGATGAACGTCGATTTGTGACCGATTAATTCCTCGTGGTTACAGGGTTAAACCCAAAACAACTCAAAGGGTTAAGTTTAGGTATTCATTCAGAATGGTTAAGGTTTGGGCTACGGTTTGGGGAAAGCATAAAACGAAAGAATAATTTTTAAAAATGCGCTGTTTCCATTTATTATCATCAAGTACTCTCCCTTCTTGCTAGACATTTGTGAACTGCCATGGTGCAATGGTCTAAGCAGCACACCCTGGTTCTGAGCATCTTACTGACCAGCCTGGTGTGTGTGTGTGCATATATGTGTGTGCATTAAGGTGTGTGTGTTGTTCCCCAGTCGTCGGGTGTTGAGGACGTCAGATAATGTGTCTCTGGGTGCTGTGCATTGGGACCTGGCTCTCTGTCTGCTGCTGGCCTGGATCATCTGCTACTTCTGCATCTGGAAGGGAGTCAAATCTACAGGCAAGGTGAGCCCATACAGACCAAAACAACAGGATCAAATTCATTAGGTCACACCGCAGCAAAACATTTTGCAAGAGAAAACTAAAATGAGTGTTTCTTATTGGCCAAGTCCAGATAGTCCCTCCGTGTTTCAGTCTGTACAATCTCTTCATGTGTGTGTGTGTGTGTCTGTGTGTCTGTCTGTTCAAGTGTATCTTCATGTGTGACCACAGGTGGTGTACTTCACAGCAACGTTCCCCTACCTGATGCTCTTCATCCTGTTTATTCGGGGTGTGACTCTACCAGGGGCTGGGGAGGGCCTAAAGTACTATCTCTGGCCTCAAATGGACAAGATCTTGGAACCTGGGGTAAGACTGATGGGACACGGAGGAGGGCCTGGTATAATAACAATGCGTAATAACTTAGTTTTTACTAGGACACAACTGTTAGTGGTAGGGAATAAAGAGGGTAGTAGGGAGGAAAGATGGTAGTAGGGAGGAAAGATGGTAGTAGGGAGGAAAGATGGTAGTAGGGAGGAAAGATGGTAGTAGGGAGGAAAGATGGTGGTAGGGAGGAAAGATGGTAGTAGGGAGGAAAGATGGTAGTAGGGAGGAAAGATGGTAGTAGGGAGGAAAGATGGTAGTAGGGAGTAAAGATGGTAGTAGGGAGAAGATGGTAGTAGGGATGAAAGATGGTAGTAAGGAGGAAAGATGGTAGTAGGGAGTGAAGATGGCAGACACTGTTTCTTCTACTATGTTCTCTAGCAGTGGCTCTCTCTCTTCCTCTGCTCACAATCCCAAAGCGGAACTGGGGTCTTACCAAGAAAAGCAAACCAAGACCCTTTGAAGTTAAGCAGTAACCCCAACACACCATAACATCAACACACAGTAACAATAACACCATCCTCCCGGAGCAGGATGAAGTTGCCCCTAGAAGCTGATCTTGGGTCAGTTTTGTATTTTCCCCACTCATTCATTTAAGATACTCTTTGGTCGTAGTCCAATGACCGAAGTCTCACAAGCGTCAATGGCAACGCTCAAACACTCGGGCATCCAGACGATTTTTCCAGGTGCCAGAGAGTCCCACAAAAGAGACATTCTTTGGTATGGATTACCTTTGACCTTAGTACAGCTTGGCATGTGACATGATGGCTTCTGGGGTCCGGTGTCGCAGTCCCCGGAGAGGTCAAGCCTCGTTTCAGGGGTCAACTATCCTCCAACTTTGCTTCCTGTTGTGTGGGGCTCGTCGGATCGGGAGGAGGCTCAAAAAGGGTGTCGACCGCGGTAAAGTGAAGCCTGCTGGGTATTTGGGCAGTGTCATGAGCTGTTGTGAGTTTGTTTCTTTGTATCATATTTCAACCAGTCTATTTTAAAAGGAAACGTGCTGTTTATCCATAGTGAGAGCAAGACGCTAACATTGGGGAGGAGGAATAATATTATGTTAATTAACGTTATGGCTAAAGCACTGATTCTCAAACAACTAAATGACTGTACAACAGCATCTTTCTAAGTATCCCAGCAAACATACGCCAAGAAAGATGTGTCGTATCATCTGCGGACAAAAGGATAGTCACCAACCCAACAACTTTAAGATCACATGTGTAGTGTGTGAGAAAAGTTGCTTAAGCAATTAGAGACCTGGGGGAGGATTGAGAGGACGGGGGCGCAGGCGTGGGAATCCCTAGCAACTTCGACTGGAATGGTGGCCAAATAAATACACTTCAGGGTCCGGGTGATGATCGGTTATGTAACCCCATGTCCCGGCACAGCTGAAGAACAGACCAGGGAAAAAACATGTGTTCGCTAGCATGCCATGTGTTTTATTTTGGATTTGGAGAAGAAGTCTGGAATGAGGGTTGTGTACTAGTTTAGGGGTCTGTGTATAGACAGAGAGAAGAGGTTTAGGGGTCTGTGTATAGACAGAGAGAATAGGTTTAGGGGTCTGTGTATAGACAGAGATAATAGGTTTAGGGGTCTGTGTATAGACAGAGAGAATAGGTTTAGGGTTCTGTGTATAGACAGAGAGAAGAGGTTTAGGGGTCTGTGAATATACAGAGAGAAGAGGTTTAGGGGTCTGTGAATATACAGAGAGAAGAGGTTTAGGGGTCTGTGAATATACAGAGAGAAGAGGTTTAGGGGTCTGTGTATATACAGAGAGAAGAGGTTTAGGGTTCTGTGTATAGACAGAGAGAAGAGGTTTAGGGGTCTGTGAATATACAGAGAGAAGAGGTTTAGGGGTCTGTGTATAGACAGAGAGAAGAGGTTTAGGGGTCTGTGAATAGACAGAGAGAAGAGGTTTAGGGGTCTGTGAATAGACAGAGAATAGTTTAGGGGTCTGTGAATAGACAGAGAGAATAGTTTAGGGGTCTGTGAATAGACAGAGAGAAGAGGTTTAGGGGTCTGTGTATAGACAGAGAGAAGAGGTTTAGGGGTCTGTGAATAGACAGAGAGAAGAGGTTTAAGGATATGTGTATAGACAGAGAGAATAGGTTTAGGGTTATGTGTATAGACAGAGAGAATAGGTTTAGGGTTATGTGTATAGACAGAGAGAAGAGGTTTAGGGGTCTGTGTATAGACAGAGAAAATGAGAAATGAAGGGGCCCATCCCAGCTGGCTGTGATAGTATGTGGAGTATACTGGATGGATAATGGACTGGGTAATTGGGCAGACTGCAGGCCTCCCAGGCCCAATCGCCCTCCTGCTAACGCTAACCAGATGCTGCTATGACTATGGGTCTGCTGAGGGTCTGCTGTCAACACACACACATAGGAAGTGCAAGCAGACACAGGCAGCCACGCATGCACACACACACGCACATAAACGGACACACAGATGGGTGTTGGCCTGAGAAAGACAGAAGAGAGCCCAGATTATTGGCATTAGACAAACCTGATGTTACACAAGTTGTAGTTGATTGTTGTCAGCCTTGACAGAGCAATTTATCCAATGTTGTATGGCTCTACATGATGCATTTGATGACAACCACATGGTTTTGACAGTTTTTGTTTTTTTAAATGGTGTGAAAGTAGCTGTCGAAAATGTGGCAGTAAATGGGAATTCTTTCTTCTGTACTCTGCCCCCTCGTTCGCCCGATAAGAAAACACATCTAAGCACCCTACCGAAGCATCCCCACCCACAGCACCTCAATGACCCCACCTCAGTCAAGCCAGGAAAACCCTCTACAGCATCGCCATCAATCACCCAAGCTCTTTCACATCTACGAGAATAGTCCACTACTCTACCTCACTCCAATCTTACACTTCCTTTCCACCTCCCTCTACTACCTATCTATTGCATAGACAACCTCCATTTACTGTATTTCTCCTCAGCCTCCCATCTCTCCAAAGTCCCTCCATCCCCTCTCCATACCTCACTCTATCAACTCACATGCTCTCCTATCCTCTCTTGTCTTTATTAACCCGGTTTTCTCGCTGTGTCTCAGGTGTCACTCACTCATCTGGCAGCTAACATCAAAGACCCCGTCAATCTTCATCCCGCAACCTCTCCCGTCTATCTATTAGAGATTAAGACGTAAGAATGCATTCGAAACCCAGGTGTTGATTCGTCACTACGTAGAACAAGGTGTCAGGGCAAAGCTCACCGTCTCCAGCAAACAAGGTACCCACAGATTAGAGTACAGCAGTGTCCCATCCAACGAAGAGAACAGCTATCCCTCATAAACTTAATAGAGATGCATACTATAGTAGATAAATTTTCAAATCTTCAGCATTTATCTTCCACGTAGAACGCATGTAGACACCGCTTTCTTTCACTTCCTCTACGTGTTATCACGTAATTTAGAGTAGCATGCAGGTCCCTCTATCCTCTCACTTAGATTTAGAGTAGCATGCCAGGTCCCCTCTATCCTCTCACTTAGATTTAGAGTACGCATGCTAGGTCCCCTCTATCCTCTCACGTAGATTTAGAGTAGCATGCCAGGTTCCTCTATCCTCTCACGTAGATTTAGAGTAGCATGCTAGGTCCCTCTATCCTCTCACGTAGATTTAGAGTAGCATGCTAGGTCCCTCTATCCTCTCACGTAGATTTAGAGTAGCATGCTAGGTCCATCTATCCTCTCACGTTGATTTAGAGTAGCATGCCAGGTCCCTCTATCCTCTCACGTTGATTTAGAGTAGCATGCTAGATCCCTCTATCCTCTCACGTTGATTTAGAGTAGCATGCCAGGTCCATCTATCCTCTCACGTAGATTTAGAGTAGCATGCTAGGTCCCTCTATCCTCTCACGTTGATTTAGAGTAGCATGCTAGGTCCCTCTATCCTCTCACATTGATTTAGAGTAGCATGCCAGGTCCATCTATCCTCTCACGTAGATTTAGAGTAGCATGCTAGGTCCCTCTATCCTCTCACGTTGATTTAGAGTAGCATGCCAGGTCCCTCTATCCTCTCACATTGATTTAGAGTAGCATGCTAGGTCCCTCTATCCTCTCACATTGATTTAGAGTAGCATGCTAGGTCTCTCTTGTCGTTATTTGAGTTGGATCACCCAGACCTGGGTCAAACACATAATTATGTCACATGTTTTCCAACACTTGAGCTATGCTTGATGTAGTTTGCTGTGTACAATAGAACAAATTGAATAGTCCCAAAAGTGCAAACACGCTACATCAAGCGCACCTCAAATACCTTCAAGTGTTTAGTTCGAGCTAATATAGCTAAAATGACACTGGTAAATGTAAATTGATAATGTGTTCATTGTTCTTATGTACAGTAGCCTCCTGTGAGGTTGCATAAGCAAACACTGTATCATTGTGACTTGACACACCTTGTTGTGTTCCAGGGATTGCGTGGCACTCTGCATTCTCAACAGTGCCACCAGCATCTTCGCTGGATTCGCCGTCTTCTCCGTACTGGGATTCATGGCTAACTCACTCAACGTGGACATGAATGAAGTCGTTAAAGGAGGCAGGCCCCTTTCCTCCACATCCCCCTCTTCTTTCTCCTCCTTCCTCATCTTCAACCCTTTCTCACACTCCTCACTGCAGCGGTCAAGCTGATATAGAATGACATTCATTCATTTCTGTTAGATATTGTGTGAAGCTGGGTCCTAAAGATGTACTGGGTGTGCAAGTGTTTGTTCCAGCCCAGCACAGACATATTTGATCAAACGAATTGTGGTCCACATTAGTTGATGTGAAATAGGTATGTTAGTGCTGGGGTGGAACAAGAGCCAGCACTCCCAGTATCTCTCCCAGTAGAGACGGAGAAACCTGTGCTATAGGTACGATACTGCTCACGGTCATAACCAATAATGGCCACAAGAGGGCACTTTAGCCCAATGCACCATATTTACCATAAAACCTCTATCTCAACTGGTCTCCTACACACAGCATTAAACCAACACATCAACAGCAATTCCATACTGTATTTCTCAGTCCAGTGATATTTACCTGCAAAGACTAATAACTGAATGTGTGTGTGTGTGTCTGGGCTGTTTCCTACAGGACCTGGTCTGGCTTTCATCGCCTATCCCAAAGCCGTGTCCCTGCTACCAGGGGCCCAGTTCTGGGCTGTCCTCTTCTTTCTTATGGTCATCTTACTGGGCCTGGACAGCCAGGTACTGTACAGGGACATGTTGGTGTTTGTGTGTGTGTGTGTGTGTGTGTGTATGTTTGCGTGTGTGTGTATGTGTGCGTGTGTGTGTATGTGTGTGTGTGTGTGTGTGTGTGTGTGTGTGTGTTGTGTGTGTGTGTATGTATGTGTGTGTGTGTGTGTGTGTATGTGTGCGTGTGTGTGTGTGTGTGTGTGTGTGTGTGTGTGTGTGTGTGTCTGTGTGAGTGTGTGTTTGTGCAACAGTGCAAGTGTGTGTTTGATAGAGTTGTATTTTGTTTATTAAGCTTAAATCAGTTAATGTGTAATTTTCAGTTGACAGGATACATCTTTGTGCATGTACAGTATGTGTGTGTTGTAAACATGTTGTGTGTGTTCCCTCCCAGTTTGTGTGTGTAGAGAGCTTGGCCACATCCATCACTGACATGTTCCCTGGTGTACTGCGGAGGCCTGGCCGGAGAGAGATCTTAGTACTAGTCATCGCTGTAGTCTGCTTCCTACTGGGCCTGCCTCTCATCACTGAGGTAGGAGAGAGGGAGAGAGGAGGGGAAGATGGAAGGAGAAAGGGTGGTAGAAGAGAGAGAAATAGAGGGTGGGAGACAGAGAAAAATAGAGATGGAGGGAGGGAGAGAGAGAGAGAGGGAGAGGGAGATAGAGAGAAATAGAGCGAGAGAGACTAGTAAACTCTTCAATAGCAATAGGAACATCAAATCTGATGAAAATGTTTAACCTCTAACATCCATGTCCATCTGTCCGTCCATCAGAATGGGATAGTCCTCTTTCAGTTGATTGACTCGTACGGTCCCAGTGGGACCAGTCTGCTGTTCATTGCCTGTTTTGAGTGCATCGCCGTCGCCTGGGTCTACGGTGAGTGACGTCACTACTAACATGATTGTACCGACTATGTTTACTGTAGTAACTGTTCTAAGACTCCAGTCACTCCAGTCACCGAAGTCATAGACTGTTCTCTCTGTTACCGCACGGCAAGCGGTACCGGAGCGCCAAGTCTAGGTCCAAAAGGCTCCTTCACAGTTTCTACCCCGAAGCCCCCCCCCCCTTTGTTTTTACACTGCTGCTACTCGTTGTTTATTATCTATGCATAGTCACTTTACCCCTACCTACATGTACAAATTACCTCGACTAACCTGTACCCCCACACATTGACTCAGTACCGGTACCCCCTGTATATAGCCTCGTTATTGTTATTTTATTGTGTTACTTTTTATTGTATTTTTTACTTTATTTTATTTAGTAAATATTTTCTTAACTCTATTTTTTGAACTGCATTTTTGGTTAAGGGCTTGTGAGTAAGCATTTCACCTGTTGTATTCGGCGCATGTGACAAATATTTTTAAAATTATTTTAATCGTTAAAGTGAATCTATACTCTAAGGGCCATTTTCCTGGACCCAGATAAAGTCCTGGACTAAAATGCTATTTATAGGAATATTCTCCATTGGGCTTTTTAGTCCAGGACTACAATGGGTCTAAGGACAGTCACAACCAGTAACAACATGTCCATCTCTGTCCATAAAGTGTTTCCATACATTCACAGTAAAATTAAGTCTAAATTGAAGTTCCATTGCCAATCTACAAGGGAAGGGAAGTGGGGACACATAGTAGACCACTGTGTCTCAACATGTTTTCGAGGGGGGACCCATGTGAGTGTTTCTATCAAAACGAAGAGATGGATCTCGACTAAAAAATAAAGTGTGGATGGATTGGCTTGCAGGTGCGAACCGTTTCCTTGACAACATTGAAGACATGATAGGCTACCATCCTTTCCCTTCAGTGCTGAAGTACTGCTGGTTGTTTGTGACACCACTCATCTGTGGGGTGAGTAAGACAGACACCTGTGCTGCCTCTCTCTCTCTCTCTCTCTCTCTCTCTCTCTCTCTCTCTCTCTCTCTCTCTATTCATCTTTCTTTCTGCGTCTTTCTTTATGCTCATGTTGTTCTCTTTCTTTCTTCGTCTCTCTCCTGCTTTCTTGCACCTCTTTGCTCTCTCTCTCTCTCTCTCTCTCTCTCTCTCTCTCTCTCTCTCTCTCTCTCTCAATTAAATTTCAATTTCAATTTCAATTCAATTCAATTTAAGGGCTTTATTGGCATGGGAAACGTATGTTAACATTGCCAAAGCAAGTGAAGTAGATAGTAAACAAAAGTGAAATAAACAATTAATATTAACAGTAAACATTACACTCAGAAGTTCCAAAATAATAAAGACATTTCAAATGTCATATTATGCATATATACAGTGTTGTAACAATGTGCAAATAGTTAAAGTACAAATGGGAAAATAAATAAACATAAATATGGGTTGTATTTACAATGGTGTTTGTTCTTCACTGGTTGCCCTTTTCTTGTGGCAACAGGTCACAAATCTTGCAGCTGTGATGGCACACTGTGGTTTTTCACCCAGTAGATAAGGGAGTTTATCAAAATTGGGTTTGTTTTCGAATTCTTTGTGGATCTCTGTAATCTGAGGGAAATATGTGTCTCTAATATGGTCATACATTTATGGAGGTTAGGAAGTGCAGCTCAGTTTCCACCTCATTTTGTGGGCAGTGTGCACATAGCCTGTCTTCTCTTGAGAGCCAGGTCTGCCTACGGCGGCCTTTCTCAATAGCAAGGCTATGCTCACTGAATCTGTACATAGTCAAAGCTTTCCTTAAGTTTGGGTCAGTCACAGTGGTCAGGTATTCTGCCACTGTGTACTCTCTGTTTAGGGCCAAATAGCATTCTAGTTTGCTCTGTTTTTTTGTTTGTTCTTTCCAATGTGTCAAGTAATTCTCTTTTTGTTTTCTCATGATTTGGTTGGGTCTAATTGTGTTGTTGTTGTTTATGCTGTCATGGTCTGTCTCTCCCTCGTGGTCTCTCTCTCCCTCGTGGTCTCTCTCTCCCTCGTGGTCTCTCTCTCCCTCGTGGTCTCTCTCTCCCTCGTGGTCTCTCTCTCCCTCGTGGTCTGTCTCTCCCTCGTGGTCTCTCTCTCCCTCGTGGTCTCTCTCTCCCTCGTGGTCTGCCTCTCCCTCATGGTCTCTCTCTCCCTCCTGGTCTCTCTCTCCTTCGTGGTCTCTCTCTCCCTCATGGTCTCTCTCTCCCTCGTGGTCTGTCCCTTGGTCTCTCTCTCCATCGTGGTCTGTCTCTCCCTTGTGGTCTCTCTCTCCCTCATGGTCTCTCTCTCCCTCGTGGTCTGTCTCTCCCTCGTGGTCTCACTCTCCCTCATGGTCTCACTCTCCGTCGTGGTCTCTCTCTCCCTCCCTCTTCCTTCTAACGTTGCATCAAAACACCCATACATTCCTTCTATCCACAAATGAATAGCAACTTACATTTGTTGATCACTATCTTTCTAATACCCTTTTCATACTACCGAGCCAAACTAAGCCGAGCCAAGCCGAGCCATACTGGAATGGCCTGGGTACGCATCACCCAGTTGCTGGTGCTATGCTGTAAAGCACAATGAGCACAATGTGAAAATAAAATGTTCAAGCCAGGACAGTTCAGGCTGGCCCTATAGTGGGAATCAGGTTTAAGTTGACAGTATCCAAGGCTAAACTTCACCTCCACCTCTTCCTGGTTCGCCTCAGATCACCCTGGTGTATGACACACTGACCAGTTCATCAATCAATCTAAATCTAGACTACGTCCCTGGGCCCTGGGCCTCCCGAGTGGCCTGTCTCCTCATCCTCACCCCCCTGATGTGTATCCCTGTCTACATTCTGCTGTGTCTGTGGAGGGTGAGTGTCTATACCTCACCTACCGTCACTCCATCATCACCCACCAGGCACCAACTGGGTGTCTACTCATAGCTGTGTGTTGGTTTAGGGGTGGGTGGGGGGAGGTGTGTGTGTGTATACATTTTAATATCTGTGTGTGTGTGTGTGTGTGTGTGTGTGTGTGTGTGTGTGTGTGTGTGTGTGTGTGGGTGTGTGTGTGTGTGTGTGCAGGAATGTGTGAATTGTGGTGTTTCTTCATTGTTTTGAACATGTCCTTCCTCTCAGAATCCTGCAGGGATGACCACTCCGTCCAGTGACCTGCGCCAGGCACGGCCACATGAACCTAGACTCACTGTGTGTGACCATGTCATCATCAAGGGACAAGAGAAACCCCCCAGGATCGCAGGGGAGCAGGATGAGAAGCTGGTCATGGAGGAGAGCAGTGGCGTTTAGTGTTGATGACATCATAGAACCTCGACCATCAGGGTGCCAGACTGCCGGGTTGGTCTATGCAGGGATACCATGAAAGTCTGGGTCGTATTCATTATGGCGGCAGGTAGCCTAGCAGTTAAGAGGGTTGGGCCAGTAACCGAAAGGTCAACTGGTTCGAATCTCCTAGCCGACTAGGTAAAACATATGATATGCCCTTGAGCATGGCACTTAACTATAATTGCTCCTGTAAGTTGCTTTGGATAAAAATGTCAGCAAAATAACTAAAATGTAAAGAATGTGGCACCAAATGGAAGAAAACGGACTGAAAAAGGAGGGACTACCTGAACTTGTTAAAAAACATAAGAAATATAATTTTCTATTAAAGAACTGACCAGACTGAACGGCAGATCCAGTACGGCAAAGTCAACACAAACAAAAACAAATGGATGACATTACAGATGCATCATGCTACAAATGTTTACACCTGCTCTTGAATATTCAGAGGTGTTTTCTCTCTGTTGTCTCTGTTATTGTTTACATTTCCTCTTTGTTATTTTGTTTACCATTTGATAGCCTACTCAAGAACCCTTTCATATACACTACTGGTCAAAAGTTTTAGAACAAAGGTTTTTCTTTATTTTTTACTATTTTCTACATTGTAGAATAATAGTGAAGACATCAAAACTATGAAATTACACATATGGAATCATGTTGTAACCAAAAAAGTGTTAAACAAATCAAAATGTATTTTATATTTGAGATTCTTCAAATAGCCATCCTTTGCCTTGATGACAGCTTTGCACACTCTTGGCATTCTCTCAACCAGCTTCACCTGGAATGCTTTTCCAACAGTCTTGAAGGAGTTCCCAAATATGCTGAGCACTTGTTGGCTGCTTTTCCTTCACTCTGCGGTCCGACTCATCCCAAACCATCTCAATTTGGTTGAGGTCGGGGGATTGTGGAGGCCAGGTCATCTGATGCATCCAGCCTGGAGGTGTGTTGGGTCATTGTCCTGTTGAAAAACAAATGATAGTCCCACTATGCCCAAACCAGATGATATGGCGTATCGCTGCAGAATGCTGTAGTAGCCATGCTGGTTGCGTGCCTTGAATTCTAAATAAATCACAGACAGTGTCACCAGCAAAGCACCCCCACACCATAACACCTCCTCCATGCTTTACGGTGGGAACTACACATTGGAACCAAAAATCTCAGATTTGGACTCCAGATCAAAGGACTAATTTCCACCAGTCTAATGTCCATTTCTCGTGTTTCTTGGCCCAAGCAAGTCTCTTCATCTTATTGGTGTCCTTTAGTAGTGGTTTATTTGCAGCAATTCGACCATGATTCACACAGACTCCTCTGAACAGTTTATTTTTTTTATTTGTTATTTTAGCAGATGCTCTTATCCAGAGCGACTTACAGTTAGTGAGTGCATACATTTTCCTACTGGCCCCCCGTGGGAATCGAACCCACAACCCTGGCGTTGCAAACGCCATGCTCTACCAACTGAGCTACACGGGAACAGTTGATGTTGAGATGTGTCTGTTACTTGAACTCTGTGAAGCATTTATTTGGGCTGCAATTTCTGAGTCTGGTAACTAAGTAGTGAATTTATCCTCTGCAGCAGAGGTAACTCTGGGTCTTCCATTCCTGTGGCAGTCCACATGAGAGCCAGTTTCATCATAGCGCTTGATGGTTTTTGCGACTGCACTTGAAGAAACATTCAAAGTTCTTCAAATGTTCTGCATTGACTGACCTTCATGTCTTAAAGTTGAAATGCATTCCAGGTGACTACCTCATGAAGCTGGTTGAGAGAATGCCAAGAGTGTGCAAAGCTGTCATCAAGGCAAAGGGTGGCTATTTGAAGAATCTCAAATATAAAATACATTTAGATTTGTTTAACACTTTTTTACTACATGATTCCATATGTGTTATTTCATAGTTGTGATATCTTCACTATTATTCTACAATGTAGAAAATAGTAAAAATAAAGAAAAACCCTTGAATGAGTAGGTGTGTCCAAACTTTTGACCGGTAGTGTACCTCATCTGTTACACTAATGAACCTTTTATATTTCTATGTGCAACATATTTTTTTTTTTACTTGCCTCATAAACAACCTCCTCTCCTACAAACAAATTATTATGCCAGAATACCCATGTATAGTATTACATTGATATGTTATTAATTAGGGAAAAAAAAATATATATATATACAGTACAGTTGAAGTCGGAAGTTTACATACACTTAGGTTGGAGTCATTAGAACTCGTTTTTCAACCACTCCACAAATTTCTTGTTAACAAACTATCATTTTGGTAAGTCGGTTAGGACATCTACATCTTTTCCAACAATTGTTTACAGACAGATTAATTCACTTATAATTCACTGTATCACAATTCCAGTGGGTCAGAAGTTTACATACACTAAGTTGACTGTGCCTTTAAACAGCTTGGACAATTCCAGAAAATGATGTCATGGCTTTAGAAGCTTCTGATAGGCTAATTGACATAATTTGAGTCAATTGGAGGTGTACCTGTGGATGTATTTCAAGGCCTACCTTCAAACTCAGTGCCTCTTTGCTTGACATCATGGGAAAATCAAAAGAAATCAGCCAAGACCTCAGAAAGAAAATGGTAGACCTCCACAAGTCTGATTCATCTGATTCAATTTCCAAACGCCTGAAGGTACCACGTTCATCTGTACAAACAATAGTACGAAAGTATAAACACCATGGGACCACGCAGCCGTCATACCGCTCAGGAAGGAGACACGTTCTGTCTCCTAGAGATTAACGTACTTTGGTGCGAAAAGTGCAAATCAATCCGAGAACAACAGCAAAGGACTTTGTGAAGATGCTGGAGGAAATAGGTACAAAAGTATCTATATCCACAGTAAAACGAGTCCTATATCGACATAACCTGAAAGGCCGCTCAGCAAGGAAGAAGCCACTGCTCCAAAACCGCCATAAAAAAGCCAGACTACGGTTTGCAACTGCACATAGGGACAAAGATCGTACTTTTTGGAGAAATGTCCTCTGGTCTGATGAAACAAAAATAGAACTGTTTGGCCATAATGACCATCGTTATGTTTGGAGGAAAAAGGGGGTTACTTGCTAGCCGAAGAACACCATTCCAACCGTGAAGCACAGGGGTGGCAGCATCATGCTGTGGGGGTGCTTTGCTGCAGGAGGGACTGGTGCACTTCACAAAATAGATGGCATCATGAGGAAGGAAAATTATGTGGATATATTGAAGCAGCATCTCAAGACATCAGTCATGAAGTTAAAGCTTGGTCGCAAATGGGTCTTCCAAATGGACAATGACCCCAAGCATACTTCCAAAGTTGTGCCAAAATGGCTTAAGGACAACAAAGTCAAGGTATTGGAGTGGCCATCACAAAGCCCTGACCTCAATCCTATAGAACATTTGTGGACAGAACTGAAAAAGCGTGTGTGAGCAAGGAGGCCTACAAACCTGACTCAGTTACACCAGCTCTGTCAGGAGGAATGGGCCAAAATTCACCAACCTTATTGTGGGAAGCTTGTGGAAGGCTACACGAAATGTTTGACCCAAGTTAAACAATTTAAAGGCAATGCTACCAAATACTAACTGAGTGTATGTAAACTTCTGACCCACTGGGAATGTGATGAAAGAAATAAAAGCTGAAAGAAATAATTCTCTCTACTATTATTCTGACATTTCACATTCTTAAAATAAAGTGGTGATCCTAACTGACCTAAAACAGGGAATTTTTACTCGGATTAAATGTCAGGAATTGTGAAAAACTGAGTTTAAATGTATTTGCCTAAGGTGTATGTACATTTCCGACTTCAACCGTATATATATATATATATATATATATATATATATATATATATATATATATATATATATTCTTTTTTTCCCCCAGTATAATTACACAATATTTAATTGTTTAAATTAATGATGGTGTCTCGAAAGTCCATGCCTTGGAACACAGGGATCTTAATTTCAGTTGAGGAGTCATTGAAAATAGATAATTGAATAGTAATTTTAGTTACCTTCCTGAACTGACTTACTTCAATTTAAATTGACCCCAACTGGTTGTCATATGCTGTCGTTGCTGTTGTTGGCCAGTTCAAGAGATGTCATGTCCTCATGGCTTTTCCATATAGGAGTGAAATCACTATGTCCTGTTAATTGTCCAAGCAACAGAATGCATACGAACGCACAGGTCATTTAAATCCATTGAGTTGCATTTGAGTTACGTCAATTATTGGGTCATGGACATAATTGCCATGAACAGGCACACAGACCATGGTTAGATGACTGACAACTGTGTTTTGTTAGTGTGTCTTGAATAACATGTTAGGAAATACATCATATAAAGATGCTAATGACTGATACCCGTTGTATTATTAAACATATTTCCAGTATACATGGCTTCCATGTTGTTATTTTCCGTTGATCTTTCGGTCTGAAACTGGAGAGAGGAAGTCTAGTTCAACAGCAAGCGGCCAGGCTCAACTTGTTCCCACTGTCAATTACAAATCAATCTATTCTAAACAGGACTTTCCCTTGCCTTGCTCCTACAATACAGAACACCATGTTGTTCACCAATACCATACCTCACCCTCCCCTCTCGCCCATATGCACAGATCTGGCTTCTGTGGTTCTGTCATCAGGCCACTGCTCATCCAGGGCTGCCATCCATGTAATCCGAAGCGGCATTCAATTAACTGCCAATTCATCCAGAAGCCCTTCGGCTCCTCACAATACCATCCGCACTGTGGAATTGTGGGACCTAACCTTGGGGTAAAGGCCTCTCTGTCGGCCAATTAGAATCTGGAAGGGATTTTTGACGTCAGGTAATTAAATATGAGGAAGTGGTTGTTGGGGGCCAATGAGAATGCTAGGCTTGTGTGAAGGGTCCAGTCAGCAGGCCAATAAGAGGATGGGGATTACGGGTGGGGGAGTTTTTTAAATTCATTTTTACATTTTGGGTATCGATGGGTGGGTTGGCTCCAGTTAAGAGCCGC